GGCCTCAGCAATCTTTCTCTTCTTGGGAGCTAGATCTTTGGCGAGTTCGAAAAGCAAATCATCTTGTGGAGAAAGGGAACAGACAGTATCAGAAGGGTCTAACTCAACCGGGATTGAAGTTTCAATAGTCTGAATTGTATCTGCTAGCCCACTGGTCGGTAGATCAGTGTTATCAGGTAAAGAAGTTTTGGCTGGAGCATCACAAATAAGTTCCTCAAGGACGGAGGTCGGGATCTCGGGAATATTTAGAGTTGGTTCAACAGTTGATAAAAAAATCAAGGAAATTTTTTACCGTCCTGCGTCCAGACGCCGCAAGAGAAGACTTCTTCTTGGCTCAAGGTGTTTGTGCCCGAGTAATCTGGATCACCTCCCGATATACAGCCAATGTGGCGTTGAGTCGGTTCGGCATGACAATAAAAGAAGTGTAAGTTGGAGTGTACCCGAGCAGCATGTGGGCGGCTCGACAGAACAGACTCATTGAAATTCCAAACTTTTTTAAGTTAATCCATCTTGACAGAGGACTCAACAATCCTTCCCTTCACAGTTTCACCTGTGCAAAAGAAAATCCAAGTCAAAAAAATAGAAATTCAAAGCTAAAACAGAAGGGTAAAAGATCAAATACCTAGCATGCCTTCTTCATATGGACAACCGTAGGAGAGAACAACACCATCAGCGTACTCCCAGTTCCCAGAAACATAGATGATATCATTCTCATGGCCTTTGTTGGAACTGGGAGATGGGTCACAAGGTAACGGCTCTTCTTCCTTACCGATAGGTAGTAGCTATCTCCAGTAGCTTTGATGATGTAGCAATATAAGATCTCCCACAGCCCAAGACTCAAACCTAGAATCTTGTCCAAAGAGAACACCCCCAAGACAATCCTAAAAAAGTTTAGACAGCATTGGAGGGGACAGAGCTTCACAGTAGAAAGCACCCAAATCAAAAAAGGGTCAAGAGGGAATAGAACACCACTCTCGGTTATGGCACAAGTAGGAATGGGTATTGATTCTCGTGTGCCAATCAATGGCTCATCTTTTTCAACAACTCTAACCTCAATGTCATCTGGAATATTGTACTTGATTTTGAAGGCAGGGACTTCTGAAGGAGTAAGAGGATCCATGAAGAAGATGAAGTGCAGAGGAAGAAAAACGCAAAAAAAAAAAGGATAAGAGTCTGAGAGTCTGGAACCAGAAAAGCAAAATATGAAGAAAGGCGGTTTATAAGGAAGGAGGAATTTTAAAGGGCAACATTTAAATACCCGGAATGTGCCGCCAAAATGAAAGGGTATGTTACAAAGTACAAGTGATGATGAATCGATAAGAAAACGGCTGACAGCCAAAAAATGTATGTCAGACGTTTTTATGGGAGCAAATGAAGGGGTTAAATCTCATGATTACACGTAACATGACATTAAATGTGCTCACGTGATGTTGACAAGACAAGGCACGTGATGAAGAATCCTCTATTAAGCTTTTTAACCAAGCCGAGCTAATTAGAGGTTCGAGAATGACAGAAAAAGTTCGGATCTCTTTATGACCGAACTCATCAATCTGTTTAGCTAAGTAACAAAAGATCTTGACTTGTACCAAACTGAGTTCACTAAAGTGTTCGGGAAGGCGATAGAAGAAAATGGTTTGTACAAGACCAAAGCTCTAAAACTATTCAGCAAATATCAAATGTGCTCGGCGTATGACATGTCTGAGCTGTTCAAAACGATAGATGAAAAAATAAAAATTCGCCTATAACTTAGGCAATTAGATAAATGAATCAATAAAATTGTAGATATCAAGAGAAATTATTGGAGAAATATCAGTAACTTCCCAAACTGAATGACTGAATTGAAGGAGGGTGTGCCACCTTGAATCAAAAATCACGGAAACCCTAAGGGTATGACCATCTATAAAAAATGAGGAATCCAAGGTAAAAGGTACGCTGAACACTCTTGGTCTTCTTCCATTCGTTTCATTACCTTTATTAACTTAAGCATCGGAGTGCCTTCGATCGAAGCACTTTGATCTTGGACAGTTTGTTCATTTTGTAGGAAGAGCAAGACTGGGAGATGAAGTTCAGAAACTCATCAATATTTCTATTCTAGTAGGAGGTATTCTCGATTTTTTGCCTGCTACAGAAATGATTGCATAATTTAATCCAATAATGTAAAAACATATTCAATGTATTCAACATGGTGAAATTATAATCATTATATTTGTCATAACATACAGAATGAACAAATACCCATGTTAGCACTTGAAATCAAAAGTGTCATTAATTATTAAGAATATGCAAAAAAAATATTCAATTATACTTGCTTGTACTCCCGATGTGAGTCATAAAGAATCAAATGACTATTATATTACGATGTGTGGATATTTCAACAACTCCAATAAAAATAGAGGAACATTTTTTAGGATTTTTAGAGGTAGATATTACCTTGGGAAAATGACTTTTTGATGAATTTCTAAATGTTATAAAAAATAATGAACTTAATGTCAATGATATAAGAGGACAAATATATGATAATGGATCTAATATGAAGGAAAACCATCAAAGTGTACCAAGAAGACTATTAGATATTAATCCTAGATTATTACTTTGCGATATGACAAATTCTTGTCTTAGAGCTATGTCTTCTTTTGGAGTTGTACAACATATATATTTTTTATTTTCTTCTTCAACAAAAACGGTGAAAAATTTTACAAGAACATGTATCTAAACTGTCAAGTCATTGTCACAGATCACATCAGAAAAGTCACATTGAAAGTGTTAAGACAATAAGATTTTAAGTTTCACAAGTTAGACATGCATTATTTCAATTAGCAAAACTTAGTGAAGATCTCAAAACAAGTAGTGAGGCTAAATGCTTAGCAATATATGAGTTCAAAAATTTTGAGTTTTTATTAACTATGATTATTAGGTATGATAAATTATTTGTTGTTAAGTCTGTTAGTAGAAATTTACAATATAAAAATATGCGTATTGAATTTGACATAGATCAATTACATAGTCTTATTTCATTTTTAAAAAAATATATATAGAGAGAAAATAGATTTACCACTTCTTTGATCTCATCTAAAGAAATTGTAATGGAAATGAGAGTAGAACCTTTATTCTGTGAAAAATGTATCATTCGAAAAAGAAAATTTAATGAAAATCATAAAGAGGAGACAATCCAATTCCTCGAAGAATCTTTTAGAACTAATTATTTTATATATATAGTAAATCAAGCAATTTCTTCAATTGAAAATATATTTGAACTATTTAAATCATATACAAATATTTTTGGATTCTTATTTAGTTTAAAATATTAAAATCATTAGATACTGAGAGTTTAAAAAAATATTGGCTTAACCTTGAGAACTTCTTAAAATGTGATTAATTTTCTGATATCGATGGATTAGATTTATTTTTAAAATTAAAAGTCGTAAGAGAAGTTTTACAAATAGATTGCAACACTCCAATAAAAACATTAAGTTTTATCAAAAGGTTAAATTTTTTTTCTAAATACACTTATTGCTTATAGAATAATATTGACAATATTCGTAATAGTTGCTTCTGATGAAAGAAATTTTTCAAAATTAAAACTTATAAAACCTTACTTACATGATCAACTATGTCGTAAAAAAGATTGAATGGATTAACCCTATCATCCATTGAAAATGATATATTAGCAAAACTTGAATGTAAAAAATTAATCACTAAATTTGCATCACAAAAAGTGAGAAGAACAAATTTTAAGTAAAATATTAATCATATAATATATTTATAATAAATTTTAGAAGGGACTCATTTAAAGCTTCTACATAGAGCCCCCACTTACATCGAGCCGGCCTTGTCACCAGCTGATATCGTTATGACCTTATTATTACAAAATATTAAAAGCAGTTTGCAGAAGGGCAAAAACTAACTAGACCCAACTTAAGTTCGGTTATACTAATTAGAATCTTGTAGATATATTTTTCCTCCTATTCTTGCTTTCAAACACATCTACATTGAACTTCCATTTGCATCTCAAGCTTTCTGCTTCTTATTTCCTCCTTAAACATGGTAAAAAAAAGTATAGTGCCAATAAATAATTGTAATTTTGAAACTAAGTGAGAAGTTCTATGTTGGGAAAGTTCACACCCAACATTCTGGCCTCATATAATTTTCAAACTGGTTTAAGTTGTTATACTTGGTGAAAATAAGAACTACAATAGTAAAAGGTCGAAATTAAATTATGGAGCCAGTTTAAGATATCCTTCAAAGTAACAATTTTCAACAATTTTTAATTTCTTTATTTCTTATATTCTCTTCCATGCTTGCTTTCTAGTAGTGTGATCAAGACAATTTATAAACTAAGAGAATACTATGCAAACATAAATCATCATTTGTTGGCTGGCATCTAATTGCAAGCATTTCTAATGTTGGTTTGCAAATTGACAGAAAACAAAATGAAGTTGGAACACGAGGGTAGGAGGCTAGGAGCGAGTAAATTGTAATTTACTATGGCAAAGGATTTCCCTCTTAAAACCCAAGTAGCTTATTGTGGAATTAATATAAAGAATTTAACCATATCAAAGAAATGGATATGGTTCTCATAATCCTATTTTTACATTTGTGGTTGTGGTTTTCACGATTTTATATTTACATGTTCAAGGTATTTTTTTGATGTGCAGTGTACAGGTTTGGACTTCTAAGCCCTAACCATGTTTGGAGTGTGTGTGTGTGTGTGTACATTTCTCAATGTTGAAAGGCAAAAAACCTTATCCCTCATCACTTGGGTTTACGTGTGATTGAAGTTATAGATCCCCATCACTCCTCCGAAAGTTAGGTACTCTTAAATAAGAGTTGATAATTTACAACTTCTGTCTAAGGGAGTATGGCTTGAAATGTTATGGAGAAAAACTGAAAAACTAGAGTTTAGAAGGAACAAAGATAATTGGGCACTGCAAGTCAATTCCAGTCCCAGGATTTCAGGAATGTGAACTGACACGAGTAAAAGATAAACTTATGTCAAAAACCTGAATTTGGTGGACTTTCTCCATATATTATTCCACCTGTGTCTTTATTGTCTGATCCAAGATCCCTTATTCTATTCAACTCGGACAATATGACCAAACCAAGGTCAGGCCGGTCCTTCCTCCTCAACTCACAACACTGTAAAGCTAGTTTTGCAAATGACAAGGCCTCCTCAACAGGCCAATCATTCACTGTTGGATCAAGCATCTCTGAAAATGTTCCTTTCTGGATTGCCCTCTCCATGTGGTATGTTAGACCAATGTTAGGTTTTGCTGTAAGAATTTGCAATAAGATTACACTAAGCGAATATATGTCAAATTTTGTGCCTAGCATCCCTATTTGTTGATACTCCAGGTCAATGTAACAGAATGACCCAGCTACTGCTATCATGTGATATTGAGTTACCCCATCAGCCACGAATGGTGGAACCAGCCTGGCTAAGCCAACATCACTGATCTTGCTCATATAGTTTCGGTCTAAGAAAATGTTGGCAGGTTTGAGATCGCTATGCACTAGAGGCTTGGGTTTTGTTTGGTGAAAAAAATTAAGGGCAATAGCAATTTCAAAAGCTATTTTGAAACGGGTTCTCCATGAGATTGCGGGAGTGTTGTTTCTATGGAATAGCCGGTCTTCTAAGCTGTCATTTTCCATGTATTTATATACAAGGCATCCGTACTCAGGGCAAGCTCCAACAAGAAGAACCATGTTTGGATGTCTCATGCAACTTAGCACCTCAATCTGCATTGAGATAGATAATTAAAGAGAAGGTTAGACTAATGTACGACAACCACTTTCAATCTAGCAGCCTTCACTGGTTTCTTAGTTTCATTGAATACGTCATTTGTCATAGACACTCCTGCCAATAAGTAAAAAAATTGATGTGCTTTGGTTTTGTTCTCTTATATCATGCTTTTCTTGTCTGTCGATCTCGGAAAGGTTAGGGCTTATGGTGTTCAAAAAGGGTTGGCTAGTGAGGATTGTAGTGAAGAAAATGAAGTCATTTGGCACTTTCGGCATTGGACGAAAATTTTGGTTCCTACAATACTGCTGTCAATAGACTGACTGGAAAGAGCCTGAGTAATGGTTAGCAGTATCTCGTGATGGTGCTAGGTAGTTGTGATGTATAGGTGATGTCAGCAGAGTATAGAAACAAGGGACACTCTTTTTGCACAGGCCAGGATCCTAAGGTAACCTGCAAAATAATGAAGGGAGAATCTAGAGGATGATCGCCAGATTTCCTCATAATTTATGTCGCTTCTTCTACATCTACCCAGTGTTAATGGAACATGCATAAAATAATATTTATTTCTCTGTGTCTTAATGAACCAGATGCACGAAAACTTCCCAAGTGTTTTTTGCATGTTTTTGAATGATAATTTCGTATTATTTGAAATGATGATAGAAAGATCTAGGTGGTAACAAAATAAGATATTCAAAACAGATCATCAATTGATGAGCCCAGATCCAAACTAGGCTTAGGCCCAATCCATGGGTTGAGCCCAATTTGAAGTTTAAGAATCTATAAAAAGTCAACGCACATGAGAAAATAATCATCGAGATAGTCATTATTTCAAAATAGTGCACATCCTCAATTGTAGCTATCCTTCTTGATAAATTAGTAGATTGACTTTCACGTCACTGTCTCAATTAGGGTTCTGTGCCAATAAATTGTATATCCCTCACACAAAACACACGCACTACACCTTAAGCGTACTCATGTTGTCTCTCTCTCCTACTATCTTGTACTCTCTTATTAATAGAGTTTTTCGGCCGCTATTGCTGCCTTCAATGGTTAGGTCACCCATATCCAACCACCTAATTTTTATTTTTTATTATTAATTACTTTATTAATTGTTTTATACCACACATTCGACTAACTTGATCGTGCAAAATCAACTTTGTGCATCATCATCGATCATAACAATATTCCATACATCTACTATCTGCAAAAATAAAAACTGAATATGGAATATGGAATACCTCTTGTTGAAACTATTTCTGCCCTTGTGAAATATCCGGCCTAAAAACCTTAATGGCAACAACTGTGTGATCAAGCAAGGCTTTATAGATAGGCCCATATCCTCATTCACCAATCTTTGCTGAACTGGAGAAGTAACTTGTTGCAATTTTAATTGCTTCTCTGGTGTACTTTCTATACCGAATGTCAAAGCGTGCCAACGCTTCCATCACTTTCTTTTTCTCTTCTTCTTCATGCCTTGCCTTCATTTCAATACATCTTCATTTATAGGATTCCAATTCTGCCAGACGTTGCGCCATCTGTGCCACTTCCATGGCAGCCTTGGCTTTTTGCTTCTCCACTTCCACTATGGCGAAAGCAGCCTCTTGCGCTTGCTTGGCTTCTTATAACTTGTGTGCCTCTACTGATTTCCATAGATTAATTTCACTTGCTTGGGAAACACAAGAGTCATGTGATTGATATTTAATACTGTAAGGTTATATGTACATACTGACTATACTAAACTCACTAGTTGAAGTTTTAATCTTATCTTCTGTTTAGAAGTCATTGTTTCTTTGCAAGCTGAGTTGTACATTTCCATGGTTTGCTTCAATTCAAGTTTTAATCTCCTCATTTCGTGATGTGATGTAATTGATTAAAATGAGGATTAGCAAAGCAATTAAAATAGATAATTGTTAACTGAGAGTGGTATATATAAGTCATACAATGACCTACAAGAAACCCTATATGATTGTAAAGTGTTTTTCATTTTATCCATCCTTGTGGTTAAAAGGAAATGCATGTATCAGTATATCTATCCACATGTTTGGTTACAGTTTTGAAACAAAATCCACTGATGCGCTTTGTTGGAAAAAATAGTTTTGGTACTTTCATTCAGACAAATGAGAACAGGCACTCATCCAAAAATCCACCCAAACAAAATCAACTGCATACTTCCTTGGGGCAACAATAATGGTGCACTCTTTTTGGCTACTAGTGCAAAATTTGTCCTATTCACTCAAACTGGGTGTATGCTTATACATACTATGGCAATCAAATTATGTCTTGTTTTGCAAGGACTTCACAGACATTGTCCAAAGGACAAAACAAAGTCACATAAAATGATGAGTCATTGTCTACATCTAATTCAACACGCGAATGCTAGAATGGACTAAACGATATCCAACATAAACTTGTGATAACTTTATTTATTTCCAATGCAACTACAACAATTGGAATAATAATAATAGTAGTAGTAGTAGTTTCATAGAACATCCAAATGCATCGTTGTTTAATATTAAAGAAATTGGGTATGACTAATAGCACAACATACTATATTAAACCTAGCACATGAAACTCTTTTAATTAGGGCGGCAGCAAGATTTGAACGCATGACATTTTGCTCTGATACCATGTTAAACAACTATCTGCTACAAAAGTTTAAGTTGTTAGAGAGGGTGTAACTTTAATATTTATACTTCAACAAATCCTACCATTCTTTTAATCATATGATGTGCCATTACAAGATATGGGACATGAGACTTACTAGGGGGTTGGAAGGAGATTGAGCTCCTAGAAGCATCTGATATGCAGGAGTGGTCAAAATTTTCAAAGGAGATATTAGATGATTGGAAACTAGGTGGCCTCAAAAATCCACCCGATTCCGATGAGGAATCTTGACAGGACGGACTTGCTAATTTGGTGCGAACCTGAAGATTAATAAGATTGGCTAGTGATTGTTGGGGTAAAGGAATCTTGTTGCCTATAGGGATCCTCTCAAGTGAATGAGTTATCATCATAAAATCACCCGTGTTGCCGGATGATATTTTCTCACTGCTCGTATCAAAGTATATCCTTTCGCTACTTCTGTCAAATGAAATTTTCTCAAAGCATTTGCTTCCCCAACTCCTTTGACTAAATGTTCTACAAAAGCAGAAGTAGAGACATGAATCCAAAAGCAAGAAATATGTAAGCCTTGCATGTAGTAAGTAGGTTGACTATACAAGCTATGCATTGGCAGACATGCATAAATTAAATGAAAAAAGATCAGTACTATCTGATATGATGTTGTTTGCACACTTGTTCTCAAATATACTAGATCATGTTGTGATCTTAAGTTCCTAAAAATGATATTATATTTTCCTCCACTAGGAACATATTAATTAAAAGAGGAAATAAAAAATCATACTTTTAAAAGTAATCAATCAATTAGTCTGACAAACATTCATGAGATGCTCACTCTACCTAGTTAAAAAGAGTGTGTATTACTATCTTCTCCATGTAACCTTAAACCATTATATAAAATTTACAATTGTTATGCACTCATGAAGAAAACACTTGAGAACTTTCACGACATACATACTGATTAAAATCCTCAGAGGATGGGGTATCTAATGTTTAAGATTGTTGCCGGCTGGAACTAGCTGTACTAGGCGTAGGAGGTCGACTAGCCGACTTGACATTATGAACTAGTCCTTTAGATGATATCGCATACACTGAACAAAATTATGGAGCAGATCTCCCTATATTAGTTGGCACATCTACATTTATGATTGCCCTGTGAGACAAAATTGAAATGAGCATTCTTTCAATTCGAAGTAAAAAAAATAAAGTCTAGGTGCTTCAACCTCCTCCTAAAGCTCTAAATAATAAAAAGGGACAAGGACAGGGAGAAAGAAACAATGTTAGGGAACTTCAGCTAGAAAACCCATGACAAGAGTACTAATGAAGTTGTCATTGATAAAATCAACAAGGGCATTGGCAACATCAAGGTCATAGAGGGCCACCTCCTTTGCTCGAACCTGAAATATAACCTTGTACTGATCAAATCATGTATGTGACGAAGAAAATACTATTTGAACTTAATTTAGGGATATAATTTGGGAACTTAATTTTACGCAATTGGTAGTGGGCTTCATCTAATATTAGAACTCTCAATTAATCTAATAACTACATTAAATTAGGTATCTAATTAATCTAACATTGGTCGTGTGATAAGGGTAGCGACTTTCAACCTTGTTAGAGATGGTTTTACGAATTTTAATCTCAATAAATTTGTTAGGGATTGAAGTATCCTTTACAATGCCGCAAGAATCAATTCAATCAGAGATCGAGGTAAAATGTTATGTCAAAAATACTATTTTCGTCTAGAGGTGGATGACTTACTACACAAAACTTGTATTACAATTTCAACCTTGTTAGAGTTGGATTCAAAAATTTTGATCTCAATAAATAGTTTATTGAGATTGAGTATTCTTTACCATGCCACAACAATCAGCTCAATAGAAGATTGGGGTAAAATGTTATATCGTAAATACAAAAATAGGGAAAATTATTTTTCCTTCCAAAGGCATGACTTACTACACCAAATTTGCATCACAATTTTGACCTTGTTAGAGATGAATTCATAAATTTTAATCTCAATAAATGAGTCAGGGATTAAAGTATTATTTACAATGTCACAAGAATCAGTTCAATTGAAGATCATGACTAAAAGTAATGTCAGAATACTATTTTCTTCCAAAGGAGAAAGACTTATTACACCAAACTTGCTTCATAATTTTGACCTTGTTAAAGGTGGATTGACGAATTTTGATCTCAATAAATTGTTTATGGATTTAAATATTATTGACAATGCCGCAAGAATCATTTCTATCATAGATCAGAGTAAAAATTTATCTCAAAACTACTAAACAAGTGAAAAATTACTTTTTCTTGCAGAGGCAAAGGACTTACTACACCAAACTTGCATCACAATTTTGACATTGTTAGATATGAATTCACTAATTTTGATCCCAAAAAATTGTTTAGGGATTGAAGTATTCTTTACAATACCACAAATATTAGCTAAATTGGATATCGGGGAAAAAAGTAATGTCGTAAATACTATTTTCTTCCAAAGGTGGATTACTTACTATACTAAACTTGCATCATAATTTCGACATTGTTAGAGGTGGATTCACAAATTTTAATCTGAATAAATTAGTTATGGATTGAGGTATTATTTACAATGCCACAAGAATCAGTTCAATTGGAGATTGGGGTAAAAAGTTAATTAAAAATTCTATTTCCTTTCGAAGGTAGATGACTTACTACACAAAACTTGCATTACAATTTCGACCTTGTTAAAGGCACATTCATGAATTTTGATCTAAATAAATTGTTTAGGGATTGAAGTATTCTTCACAATGCAACAAGAATCAACTCAATCAGAGATTGAAGTAAGAAGTTATATAAGAAAATACTAAAGTAAGGGGAAATTACTTTTCCTTCCGAAGGCGGATGACTTACTACATCAAACTTGCATCACAATTTTGATCTTGTTAGAGGTGGATTCATGAATTGTGATCTCAATAAATTTGTTAGGGATTGAAGTATTCTTAACAATCCCACAAGAATCAATTCAATCAGAGATCGAGGTAAAAAGTAATGTTAGAAATACTATTTACTTTCGAAGGTAAAAGACTTACTACACCAAACTTGCATTACAATATCGATCTTTTTAGAGGTAAATTCACAAATTTTGATCTAAATAAATTATTTGGAGATTGAAGTATTTTGTACAATACCGTAAGAATCAGCACAATCGAAGATCGAGGTAAGCAGTTATGTCATAAAACTTACTACACTAAACTTGCATCACAATTTTGACCATGTTAAAGGTGGATTCACGAAATTTGATCTCAATAAATTGGTTAGGGATTGAAGTATTCTTTAAATTGGAAATCGAGGTAACAGGTTATATCATAAATACTATTTCCTTACAGAGGCGGATAACTTACTATATTAAACTCATATTACAATTTCGACCTTGTTAGAGGTGCATTCATAATTATGATATGAATAAATTATTTAGGGATTGAGGTATTCTTTATAATGTCATAAGAACCAACTCAATCAGAGATCAAGGTAACAAATTTGAGATAAAAATTTGTGAATCCACCTCTAATAAGGTCAAAATTGTGATGCAAATTTAATGTAGTAAGTCATCTGCCTTCAAAAGAAAATAGTATTTCTAACATAATTTTTTACCCCGACCTCCGATTTTGTTGATTCTTGCGGCATTGTAAAGAACACTTCAATCCCTAAATAATTTTTTGAGATAAAAATTCCTGAATCCACCTTTAACAAGGTCAAAATTGTGATGCAAGTTTAGTATAGTAAGTCATTTACCTTAGAAGAAAAAGTAATTTTCCACTCATTCATATTTCTGACTTAATTTTTTACTCCGATCTCCGTTTGAGCTAATTATAAATAATACTTAAATCCCTAAATAATTTTTTAAGATCAAAATTCGTGAATCCACCTCTAACAAGGTCAAAATTATGATGCAAGTTTGGTGTAGTAATATGAGACCCGATTATGCATTGCATGCATATTAGCATAATTTTGTAGGTTAAATTGTAATTATGTGAAATTATTAAAGGGTTAATTAAATTAAATCTTTCAATGGCATGATGTGTGTGAGCATACATTGGATACGTAGACCCTGTTAGTGATGTATCAGTGAGACCTATTTATAGAATTTCATGTGTGAAAAAATAGTGGGTCGATCTTGAAGTTACTTAAAACTTGGGGGGAGGCAAACATAATTACCCAAAAGGGATGAATCATCCTAGTAGGTGTCAAACTATGGGTTTATTATGGCTAAAGGGGTGTGTGTGTGTGTGTGTGTGTGTGTGTGTGTAGTGTAAAATATAAAGGTGTGTGGGTGTGAGTAACACATAAACCAGTGTGTGTGTGTGTTCTGGGTTGCTGAAACCGTGAGTGAGGGTGAACAAGAGAGAAGGGAGAAAAATATATATAATTGTGTGGCTCTTGAATCGTGAGCAAAAAACCGAGAGAAGGAGAATAAAAACAAAGAAAAGGAAACATAGGCGTGTGTGTGTGTCTACTTGAACCGAGAACAAGGAGGAAGAGAGGGAAAGACAAATCAAGGTATGTGGGATTAAGTTTAAGCATGTGTGTGTGATTAAGTTTAGTATGTATGTATATGCGTGAGCTGTTTTGTTTTAAATTAGTGGTTGTTTTAATTTAATTTAATGGGTTGTTTTATTTTAAAATCGAAATAGATTTTTGTGAGTTTAAATTAAGTGTATTAAACATAGGTTAGGGGCTGTTAAGCATGGATTTTAAATGAGTATACAATGGGTGTGAGAAAAATGGAGAAAATAAACATTCGGGATGCTTTGAGTAGGCTAAGTCGAAACCGAAATTTATGGGTGTGAAATGGAGAGTCTAAGGGTGCAATTAGGGGGGTGTTTTGCATGAATTAGTGAGTGTGTGATTTTAAGTATGATAGTTTTAAAAGAAACGTACGATAGAAATTGGAAATGGATACCGGTAATGTTGAAACCTTGATTTTTAAATGTTATTATCACATGTGTGAATTTTAATCTGAATGATCTGAAATTTTGCATGTAGCATTTTTAAATAATGTTTGATGTGATAATGTGACTTTCGAATGCGAATGGATATGATATCCAGTGTGAAATGTACGAAATGCCGGAATAGGAGTTTTTAAGAATCGGGGTCAAAATGTGTGGAATTGGGCCCTTGGTCAATGTGTTTGGCCTATTGAACTTAATTGTGATTAATGAAAGTGATTTTGGAAATTTGGAGAGAAAATGTAATCTCTAGAACAAAAGTGCTAGTATATGAGTGCATAGTGCGATAACCAGAGTTATCGGGGCACTTTGGGGTGCGTCATTTTGCATACATTAGTGCATGATTAATTATTAAATGTGATAAGCATATTGATATTGTAATTACACATATTTTAGGTGGAACGGATGAGGCA